ATATAAATTTTACACTAATAGAAATATTATCTACATACACTTAAACATCTTTTTTAAAATATTAAATATTATATATACAATTTTTACACTAATAGAAATCTTATCTACATACACTTAAACATCTTTTTAAAAATATAACAGTAGTTTTGAAATTGTTTTACACTATATTCTCCATAAGTGTTGCTTCACTGTGTTATCATAATTTAAAATCATCTTAAAATCTTAAAATATTTCCACTAGATAAAGACATTCCCTAAATGTTTCTGGAACAAATCGCAGAGCAATACCAGTTCAGAAAAGGAAGACAGTGTTCCAAGAAGAACTTTTCACCATGAAAGTATGGGACTGACAGAATTATTTGAACATATTGAGAAGTGCTGTGCAAACCTGAAGGCTTGGGGCTTCAACTCTGTCTGGCATAAAAACTAGACAAGTATGAAAAATGAACCATTATTAACTACATGAAAAGCAAAATATGGTCAAGAATATGTACTATATCATATTGTAATAATACACAGTAGTGCATTACTTAGCTGTGAATATGTACAAATTCATAGCATTGTAAATATTAAATATTAATTTTAAAATAATCATGTGATAGGAGACAATTGTGCATACATGTGAAATAGGAACAGAGAGAGGGATGTTCTTGGATTTAGTAGGGTGGAATTAATAGAAATCATATGCAATTTAGGAAAATGAAAAATTTATATGTAGTACAAACTGTACATGGAAATTATTACCAATAGAAACTCAAATAGATGAAGTAACATCTAAAGGTCTGAATGTGTTGCTTAGACCTAGGGATCAGAAGTAGGCAGTATACAGCTCTTTTGCATTACAATCCTGCTAGAAGAATTTTTTTAGAATAATGTACATGTGTATACAGAGTGTGCAAATCTGGTCATCAATCACATCAGTATTTTAAGAAAAATGCTTAAGCTTTTTTTTTCATCCACTTTCTGCTGCTATAATTAAGTACCTGAGTTTGGTAACATACAAAGAAAAAAATATTTGTTTAGCTCATAGTTTTAGAGACAGAAAGTGCAAGATCAAGTGACCCCATAAGATTACTCTCTGACAGGGACACTCTGGCTGCCTCACATCGTTGTGTGTGATATTACAGTGGAAGCACATGGAAAAGGGTAGGAGCAGCCACACGGCGGGACAGAAAGTAAGAAGGACTGAGAAACTAGACTCATTCATTTTACTGGAATCCACTCTCCTAGGAACTATGGAGGGTCCGTCAAAGCTATATTAATCTCTCTCCTTTTTCTCCTTCTCTAGCTTCTTTTTTTAATTAAGATTATTAGTAAACTTTAGATATACTTAATGATCATGTTCATCATAGGGAATTTGTGCTTGTATAACATATATTTTGATTCCTCTTTTTTTCCCAATCCCCTCTCCTTCCTTTAATCCCTCTTCCCCTATTTACAAAGCTTTGTTTCCATTTTATCCTTTTTTAAAAATCATTTTTTCTTTTCTCTTCCTTACTTGCCCCTCCCCGCACCCTAGTTCCTCTTTCCATTTGAACAATTTCTTCCCAATTCACAATATCTACCCTGCTCTGGGTGACCTGCAGAAACACCCACTTCACCCCACCCTGTCTCTTGATGGTTTCCTCTTTCATCTCTGACAGCTGTGCTCAGCCACCTTTACTGGTGAGTTGAATGGCACCCTCATCCTGACATTTGCAGACACCTGGCTCCTCCGCTAGGACGCTTTCTAGAATGCACTGGGGTTTCTACACTCTCACTTTCTCCCCCAACCCTTAATTCTCTCCTTTACCCAGTCTCTTCCAACACAGGCTCCAACAGGGCTCTCTGATACGTAATCAAGGTCCTTCCCTTTCTCATAAAGAAAAGCTGCCTTGCTCTGCTTTGCCCCACCTGAAGAATGATTTTAGTAATGAATTATTAAGATAGATACATACCTGTACACCCAGAACTCTGGGAGGTTGGGGTAGGAGGTCTTAAAATTTGACTCCAGCTTGGGCAATTGATGAGAACCTGTCTCAAAATAAATAAAAGGAAACATAAGAAAGGGGATTGGAAAGAGTGGAAAGAAGGCAAATTGAAGACCAAGAACTATATACTTTTTCTTTACTTAAGGAATCTTTTAGGAAATAACATCAGCAGATAATCATTAAAGCATATAAAGTTAAAGAATTGTTTAATTTCACTTCAAATTTTCATATCTTAAATTCATGTAAAAATAGATTTAATGTCTAAAAATAGCACTTATTCTGATTTCTCTTTATTTTTGCAGAGCTGAGGCTCAAACCTAGAGCCTCATACATACTGAGCAAATGTGATTCTTTTTATATGTATGTGAGCCTTTGTGTGTGCCTGTGCATGATGCATCAATATTTGCCACTTCTTGTCTTTCCATCCTTCCATGTAACTCTTGTTTTGGGGAAGAAAAAGGAATACTTTTTTCTCATCAGATGTCAGATCCATGGCTGAGACTATTCAAATAGAGGGCAGGTTGACAAGAGAAAGGCATACCCACTTATTCAATGTACGTTTTACAGGACACGGGAATCTTCAAAACTGAAGACTCAAAGAAGCAGAAATCTGCATATTTTATGCGCAATCTGATAAAGAGGTTAAAAGTTCTGGGAAAAAATGTAATTAGACAAAGAATATAGTCTCTTAGTAACAAACTAGGGTGTAGATTTAACGGGATCAATTTGTCCAGATTCTTCTGAATTCCCTCCAGGGATGCAGTGGAACCCCAGGTATTTGAAGGTATGTGGGGGAGAAGGGAGAAGGGCCAGACCGGCTCCCTCCACAGCCAACTTGAAGGAAGAAATGAGAAGAAAAGTGAAGAAAGACCTTCCTGCTGTTTCCATTTTCTCAGTTTCCAAATTGCCACAGCCCATCAAAATCATAGCACTGTTCTGGAATTATATTCCACTGATGATCATGGTAATTATTTTTATAACTGGAGTTTGTCATTTTTATCATTTTTATCTTTATATAGGTGGACTGTGTAGGAACTTTTGATAATGAACATGTGCGTGTATAATTTTTATGAAAAATATTAGTGTTTTTTTAAATAAAATTAAAGAACCCATTAGCATTTCTATTTAGTTGTTTCCCCTAAGGCCTCATGTGCTCAAAGATGAGGCATTTGGAAGTGACTGGATTTGGAGAGTTATATCTGACTTGCTCTTAGGAGGTGGGGTCTGGCAGAAGAGGCTGGTCACTGGGGATGACCTGAAAGGGATTAGCATCCCAACCCCCCTCCACACACACGCTTCCTTTGCCTTTTCCTTCCTGGATCACCTTTCTTCCCTGACTCCCTGGTGCTGTGTGACTTTGCCTTGGAGCCAGCTGACTCTAGACTGAAATGTGAGCCAAAATAAACCTTCCTCCTTTGAACTGTGTTGGGCCCTGTGTTGGGTATTGGGTCCCAAAGGTGAGAAAATGCCTAAGACAAAACCCAAAAACTAGAATTTAAATCTTACTGCTTTTTTATTTTTGGAGTATTATTAGAAATATGAAGAATTAATCACATTTTTAGGAACCCTCTGTTTTCTGGGATATAAATTGGTTAAGTCTTTGTGGAACCTCAAAGTAGTATCCACTGGGTGATCTACCTCCCACTCCTAATTTTTCCAAAGAGATTATTTCTGCTTGGATGATCTTCAACTACTAAAAATGTAGCAATTATGTCTTTGCTTTAAGGATTGTAAAGACAAAGATTAATTTTATAATTTTACAAATATATAAGAAAGTGTAATATAATATTTTCTTACATTTCTATTACAGGCAGCTAAACTATAAAATAATTAAGCTACAATAAAGTACCTATTAACAAACACCTATGAACAAAAAGAAAATCTTTGTCTGCTTTTTAATATTTCCTAATTGATATTATGATTTTCAAAGGGGAATTAAAACCAGGGATGGAGGCTAAAACCTGTAATTCCAATAATTCAGGAGATAGAGGCAGATCACAAATTTGAAGCCACCTTGGGTGATTTAGGGAGACCCTGGGTCAAAATAAACCTACGGGAAAAAAAAGGAGCAGGGAGTGTCGTGCAGTGATAAAGCACTTGCATAACATGCCTGTCGGTCTAATTCCCAGTGTCACAAAAAAAGAAAAGAGGATTAGAAAGTAGATTTATTTTTGGTTAAAGAACTTTTGGCTTAAAGGCAAGTTGATTTCAAAACTAGATTTTTCACAATGCCACATGAAACAAACCTTTGTAAAAATAAACAAATAAAAAGCTAATATATTAAATGAAGGAATGATTCAAAAGCTAATATATTAAATGATCTCAGTCCTCCTGGTCTGAGCAGACACACATTTAAATCCATCCCCTGCCATGCTTTACGTCTGCTGCAGATGTATCCTCATGGGGCAATAAGGCCCAGTAAGTACCCTGTAATTCCCAACTATTGTTCAGTACTGCTCTTGACAAACAACATGCAACCCATTGTACGTCCTCAAGCCCTGTGCTAGGCAGATAGACACAACTTTTTTGTGCTGAACTTTCCCCCTCAATAGTCCCATTGTGACTTTTTCCTTCCACAGACCCCCTTTTCTATGCTCATGGCCCTACAAAGACCTTATAGCCTGTAGGAGAGTAGCCAGTCAGGTGTCTAGCAGCAGAGCAGTCCCTCTCAGGTTTGTTCCAAAATAAATCTGTCCTGTGAGCTCATACTTCTCTTTCCTTTTTTTTTGCTTAGCATTAAAGTTATTTGTTCAGTTTAATTTTTGCATTCGAGGATTGCACAGTCACTCCAATGTGTGAATATTGAGGGTCTCTTTATGTCACTATACAGAAGAAACATTGTGATGAAAGCTGGGGCATTATACATATTCTTGAGTAGCCTTATTTGTATTGATATCATGAGATAAGGGGACAGGAAACAGTAGATTTGCATTTTTTTTTTCTTTTTGAATAATTCCACTGATAAACTCTAGTGTTATCTGAGCAGTCAATCCATATGCAGGTGAAATCAGGGTATAGGAAAAGGCAGAGAGAAAGTCCAGGGAGAAAGGTGTTGCAGTGTGTTGCCAGCAGCTAAGCATGGCAGGTCCTCAGGAAAGGTCAATTGCTTATGGCCGGAAAGCCCACACCAGACTTCCTAGTGAGCATAATTTTCGTGACTTACTAGTATAGAGACAGAGTCTATATTTGCCTGGGCAGGAGATATAAAGACTATAAAAGATGACAGATTTGTCAGGACTTAAGGAGACCGTCAGTTGATCTTTCAAAGGCATTTTTAAAACCTTTGCTGAAATCTCTGCTTGCCGTATGTTCCAATACTTTCACATAAATACAAATGTATCAAAGGAGTGTTCCCTCCCTCTCACAGCATTTACTAATAAATTTCATTGTAAATTCCAAGAAAAGCAACTTAGAATAGCTTAGAGACAAATACACTTCAGCCTATATCATGAATTATAACACTAAAAACTACTTATTTTATTTTTATCACAATACCAAATACTTAAGAAGTCCTCATGGTGTATACTGAACATTCTCTCACAGGGTTTATGGGTGTGGTCATGCTTGTTCCTCTTTATTACAGATTTAAACCGTGCCTCCTGTTCTTAGATAATTTTCTTAGTGCAAAATATTTATTTCTGGCATTTCACAAATCCAAAGCATGTTGAAGAAACAGGGTGCATCATTCCAGTTTTTCCGTGGGTTTAAAGAGTCTCTTATTGTGGCACAGTCCTCCAGAGTGGCTAAATTGTTGGGCTCCCCTGTATCCCAGAAGCTAGAAAAGAGAGAAGGGGGAGTTTAAATCTCAGGAAGGGGACATAAAGAAATCTAATCTATTTGGGCAAGTCATAGTTGTGTCACTTAACAGTACAACAACCCTACCAGGTAGTTATTATCATCTTCATTTATCAGTGAAGAAAAGGAATCACAGAAAAAGCTAGAGCACTTGTGCAAGACTTAGAATTTGTGAGTACTGAGGCCCAATGGGTTCCACCTCGCTTTCTAGTCTGCCATACCCCTTCATGGTTTTAGACCCAGAATGAGAAGGTGTGGGGAGGACTGATACCCTGGCGGGTTTGTTTCCTTTGCACTACTACCTCACTTCAATCATGGTTCCCTATTCCACAGAATACTCACTGAGAGTGGTTGTACTGTTAGAGCTGTTAGTGTGGTCACATAATGCATCTGCCTTTTAGGATCTTCAAATGCTGAGTAAAAAGTAGCAACATTGATGTATCTTAGAGAGTGATAATTTTGGTAAAATGGAATGAAAACAAAACTTTGAAAACTCTACAGTCCTGTGTTTTAATGGTGTAAAGGCCTTATTAAAAGGATCTTATGATGAAGTGGTTCCCATTTTCATATTGTAAGAATCTGCTCCCTATCTCAAATTATGTTTCTTAAAAAATTTACAACAGTTTGAAGAGAAGATTCAATTTTGCTTTTTCTCTCTTCTGCATTTTACCTCATTGATGCTTCCATTCTAGTCATGTCTTTTTCATCTATTATTTCATTTTCATTCTTCAGACAGTCCGAGGGAAAGGAAGACTGCACCTCTCTTTCTCTCCTCTGCTCTAGCTAATCCTCTTCCTCCGTAGTAGTGCAAAAGATGGATCTGAATGCACCATGTGTAACAAGAGGAAGCTCCCTCAACAGTGCTCTAATATTAGGACTGGAAGTAGTGTGAAAATTTGCCTACAGAAAGGTTCTTACCTCATAGAGAAAGGTGTGCCATCCACCCACTGCCACTGATCCTCAACCACCTGGTCCGACAGTCCAATATAATATTCTTTCTTTTTAGGTTTTGTGTAGTAAAGGAATTCCTATGGAAGAGACACAATCAAAAGAGAGGAAAACAGCTATTTCAGTTCTGAAGATATTGAAACTAATTGTTAAAAGAAATAAATTAGGATTTAAGCTGGAGGTGATAGATAAACAAAACTTGAAAGTATAACATCACCAGAGTTTGTCTATTAAATTTTTTATTGTGGTAAATATACACAACAAAAATAAACTGAAAAAAATAACTTCAACATAGATGTTCGGTACTTACCCAGGGTTCAGGTAGTGTTACTGGTAGTCAGATCTCTTGTGTATATCTCTTACAAAGCATTACCAATCACAATTTGGAGATAATGAAAAATAATTGCTCACTCTATTTGATATCATGTGCTCAAACAATCAACTCCCAATCTTATTTTTTCTGCTGCCCAACTAATAGAACTCCATGTGGAAATCAACTTTTTGTTAAATTCTCCTAGTAATGAAGATCAGTTAAAGTAGACACGGACTCACAGAGGTAATGGGAATAGCATACCTGTCAATATATTCACTGAACAGTTATTAAGAGTCAAACATGTACGGGGAAACAATGGGCCCTGTGAAGAATGTCACATTAGCGTCAGGATCTATGCTTAACTTACCTGTTCCTCCACCGTGTTGATAACCACAAGATGAGCCCCCATGCCTGAGCAGTTGTTTAAACTTGCTGTCCAGGTCATAAGGTCAGTAGAAAAGTAGTAGCAGCTAGATTGAAAATGTTGCCAGTTCAGTGGACAGCAGTTCTTAACTGAACCTGGGGAGAAGCTTCCGTGAGTGTTCTAGTTGAACTGAATAATTAAATTTAAAGTTTCTTCCCATCTTATGGAGTCACACATTTTAATTCATTTATAATTAGAAGCTTTGGAATCCCTTGTTCATATATCACATCTTACTGTCTAAGACTATAAATAATTCCAATATCAATAAACATAAAGACCACTTTTCTTGGTTTTTGAATGTAATGTTTATTTTTTAGATACCAAGAAATTCAACTTTATATGCATCTTATCTCAATATGTCATTGATATACAACTCTATCATCTATTCTTAGTCTACCAAGGTCAAAAATTATAACATGCATTTTCTTGGGTGACTCCTAAGTCACCTGTCTACCACTGTTTAAAATCATACAAATTGCTGGTATAAGAGTGATTAAATTTCTTGTAATTATAGAACATTACTCTTAGAAATTTATTGAAAATAAAAGTTTACTTTCTCTTCATTTAATTAAGAAATTATAGCTCAGAGAATAAAGTCACTCTCCCAATGCCATATATCTTTTTGTCAATATGTGGAACAAGACAATATATAACAGCATTTGGAGTATATTTCTGAGTTACTTCCAAATTCTCTGTACATTTCTTTCTCTGTTGGAATAGTAAATGAAAACAAAAAATACAATTTACCTTAAATTTATTTTAAATAAACTCTACTGTCCTTGAGATTTCCTGCCCCAATACTAATTACGTTTCCAGAACTTTGTACCTTTACCCTTACCAATTCCTGCCATACCAGAGGTGGGATATTACATTTTGATTTTGAAAAACATAGGACATAATTTTACTTACTCCAGAGTCAGTTCAGAATACACAGAATGCTGATGTATAAATTTCCATGTTTAAATTTGGGGCAATTGTACCTGACCCATCGTTGTTGCAGGAAATTTCTGGAAAATACACTTGTGGGTGCACCTTTTTCTCACCGCAAATCCGCAAGCTCTGATATGTTACTGTAAGATAAAGGGTGCAGCACATTTTGGATAAGAAATTAATACTCCAATTTTGTCCTCACAACATAATTATCAATAGTTTTGATTATTTTTACTATCTACTCTTCCACATGCAGAAGCACTGGGGTGCACTTGCTCAAGAAATAACAGGGAATCCAAATTTCATGGTTTTCTTGATTTACAAAGATAGATTCACTTTAATTCAGACTCACACACCCAAGGGGAAACTACTATGTTTGCACTTACTCTTATGACAAGTTGAACCCTCTCTAGTCTTCCTTCCTTAACATTTATTTTGTTTGTGCTCTTGACCAGTAAGTCCAAGCTTCAGGCTTGAATATCAAAGAGAAGACTTTAGTGATGCTAGCAGTATAAAAGAAAGAACTGAAGACCACTAAGAAGATATAAAATATCCATCATGAAAAAACTGTATCAAAGAGCACCTAAATTTAGTAAGAGTGCTGTACCAGTTGGGGTTTCTTGCCTGAGGAACACCCTGGAATTAACAGGGGAAATATGAAATTAAAGATCCCTTCTTAGGAGAAGAGAAATCTCAGGCATCACAGAGGATTTGATTGAGTTAGATTTCCAGAACCCACCGACACAACGGGTGATAAAACAGGCAGTGAGCAACAGGATGGAGATGCCAGCCCCAAACCAGAAGAAGCCCTGGTGAGAGAAGTATCTTTTCTCTGTAGGAAGAAGGCACAAACATAGTCAGTGTTCCATGGTAGCAAAATCTTATGTATTATTTATTTTTTCAACTCACACTGTGTTGAGTAATTCCCAAATTTTTCCATAGATGAGAATCACTTGGACAGTTCACTGAAACACAAAGTTCTAGGCCTTGCTTCCTGTGTTAACAATTCATTAGGCCTTGTACAGAACCCAGAAGGTTCTGAGGCTATTGATGCTGGTGTATGAAGGCAATGCTTGAAGAACCACTGGTTTAATCTATTCCTGATATGAAGACTGACTGGTGAAATTGGATGTGTGATTTGTCCTAAGTCTCTTATTTAAGAGATACTTTTAAAACTACTTCAAAATTTTTTCAAGGCTTTTTTCCCATTTAGTTTTTCTCTCTTTTTATGCCTTCCCACCTCACTCCAATTCTGTCATCATTCTTGCTTATGTAAGTGTCTCATTTTCAATCTGTTTTTTACCTTAGACAGAACACTGGTAATCACATAGTAGTGCCTCCCTCCTTCAAACGTACATTTTACCAAAAAAGTGAGAATTAAGATGTGAAGTGATTTGCTCTTAGGACCCTGAGTGTCACAGAAACACAAAAATACCTGCCTGGTAGCCTTCTTTGTACTCAAGAGACCAATCATTTCTCTATGACTCAGTCTCTAAACTCTCCTTTTTTCTCTTTCTGCCCCCTTTCATATCTGTGTGCTCTTTTCTCACTTGACTGAATGCTGTTGATTCTCCTGTCCCTTGCCTGTACCAATACAAACAACAGATCCATGGAATGAAAGGAAGAGTGGCAAATCTTACCTGCACATTGTGATGCACAAGGTTCGGAGGAATTCATTGTTCTTTTCTTTCTCTGTCTCTGTGTTCCTCTCCCTGCTCTCTCTTCTCAGTATCTGGGCCAAGAAGTGTTTGGTTGATAAGATCTTAGAAAAAAACAATCTTGAAAGATGAACACTTTATCTGTTTTATAAAGTCCAACTGTGAAAGATCTACAATATGAACTTATTCTGTGGCTGTGCACTGACTTCAGGATTTCCTTTCTTGCATAAGTAGAGTGTACCAGGCAACATGTCAATTCTCTTCACTCCAGAGAGCAAAAATATGAGGAAATGATGAAATAGTACTCATCAACACAAGAGGTGACTGTGGAGAAGACAAGAGGCCATAAACAATGTTCTATTTTGTGTGACAAAATGTCTCGTTTTCTTCAAGGTCTAACTCACCTCCAGGTTTTCCTTGATAACACAAGACTCCTCTGCTTTCCCAATTCTGCTTTTATCTCTACTACCCACTCATTTATTAACCTAAAAGGAGGCTCAGACTCCAAATCCTCATTATACTTCACACAGAGCTGTATACAGAGTGTGTGCATTTATGACTTAGGTGTGAGAATTTCCTCTTTTGTCTTTTGCCTCCTCCTTCACTTGGATCTCTTGAACATTCTCCTGCTTGGATTTGTGTGTCTTTGCTAAAGAGTTCACTGCAAGCTCATGGATCACATTGTTCTCAGCTGGCTCAGCACCACACAACCTCACACAGCTTCTGAAGCTTCAGAGACCCTGCAGGGCCTTTAATGCTACTGTTCTGATCTGCTCGAAAAGCTCAATTCTGTGTGGCTGTCAGCTTTAGAAGAAATGGATTTCATTGTCAGAAGAAGCAGTTAGAGAGTAGTGCTTCTCAGGAATGTTAAATATATGCCATCTCCCTCCTTAAAGGCATTCAAGAGTAAGATTATTCTGACTTCAGCTGCGTTAAATTCACAAAGGTTGAAAGGGAAAAGTATGTTCATATGGCTCCTTCATACCCACTTTTGATTACTCAGGCATCCCATGTGTTAGAAACTATTTTGGTCCTAAAGGGACTTTTTCTTATTTACATAGATTAGAAAATTTCTATTATAGTCTTAATTTCATTGCATTATGGACATACTAGAATAATTTAAAACTATCAAATTAAGTTGTTATGATTGGTATAAATGTCCTCCAAAAGTTTGTACGTTAAAGGCTTCTCCCCAGGGTGGCAATGCTGGCGGCTGCTACGGACTTGTGAGAGGTAAGGCCTAGTGCAGACTTTTAGGTCCTTGGTGACTGTCTCCCAGTCTCCCAGTCTCTCTCTGCTTTCTGGTTTGTGCCATGTGGTGTCATTCTCATCATGAACCAAAACCACAGAACCAATTGAACTTGGACTTGAGGCTCCAGATCCATGAGCAAAAATAAGCATCTCTTTAGCTTGAGTGTGGCCTGTGTCAGGGATTTTGTTATAGTGATGGAAGGATGACTAAGATATATTTTATTGCAAATAGCATTTGACTAGTAACAAAAGAGGAAATATCTAGTGAATGAATAACACGAATCAGTAGATAATTATAATTATCACAGCCAAAGTTTTACCGATGATGACCAATTAGTAATCATCAATGTTAATAATTATTCATTTGTAATTAATTATACACTGATGATTGAACACTCACTTATCAAATATGTATTTTATTCTCCATTTTTTCCTTTTTTATTAGCATACACCAGTGTTGCAGTCAGTGGGTTTCCCCGTGGTGTTTCCCCGTGTGCACACACTGTGTACCAGTTATGTCCGTCCACCTTTCTTCTGTCCTCACTCTTCCCTTGCCTGGTCATCCTCTGAGACCCTTGCTACTCACTCTGCTGACTGCTCTGTTGCTAGTGGTATTTTTAACAACTCTTCTGCTGTTAGACTAACTTGCTGAAAATAAAATTTTAAAATTTTACCTTTACTCATTCCTTCTCTAATTTTCTTCCTTTTTACTGTAGCTCCACTTTCTAACAGATATCATTTTCCTCCTGTATAATGAACTTTTCAGATGTCTTTAAGGCAGCTGTGCTGGCAGAAAACTCCCTCCACATATATTTGCCTGATAAAAGCATTCTTTCTCTTTCACTTTCTTTTGTGTTTTTTCTCCGGTACCGGGAACCGAACTCACGACCTTGCACTTGCCAGGCAGGCGCTTTTGCCGCTGAGCTAAATCCCCAGCCCCTCACTTTCAAATAATAATTTTACTGCCTACAAAATTTTGCCTGGTGCGTTTATTCTTTTGCTGCCTCAAATTAAATCGGACTCCATTCTCTTCTTGCTTACATAGTTTCTATGGAAAAGTCAGATGGAATTCCTTTTTTTGGAGGGGGAGGTGGTTTCCAGTACCGGGAACTGAACTCACAACCTTGCCCTTGCCAGGCAGGCGCTATGCTGCTGAGCTAAATCCCCAGCTCCTGTCAGATGGAATTCTTATATTTACTCCTCTACAGGTAAGGTGACCCTTTCAGAATTAAGCTTTCAGAATTTTTTATCTTTTATCTTTTGTTGTACTTAAAATATCTTAGCCAAGTGTATATTTGTATGTATACATATTTTTACATAAATATATACAATTTAAAAAGTAAGAGATCCATTACTAAAATAAATGGCTCTGTGAACCTCTTAGAAATGATGCTGTCTAGTAAAAAATGCTTTGGCTTATTATTGCATATATGAACATATGGTAACTCCTATTTTGACTGAGATTGTACAAATATGACATGATTAAAAGTCAAGTGAAAAATGTTTACCCAAATTATGCTCTTTCTTAATATCTGTGACTCCCCACATCATTAAATGCTTGATAACAATAAAGACATCTTGGTTTATACCAATCATAACAACCAAGACCAGGCTTCTAGGTTCCTGACAATTTAAAGCCAATATTGTAAACTATAGTATTTGTCTTGGGATAAGTAACTCAGAACCCACTGAAAAAACCAATTCCCTAGGAGTTTTCTATGATTTGAAGTTTATTTTTTTTTATTTTAAAAATAGAAGGAGGAAAACATTAACAGACAGACGACCATTTACAAAATAGCAAAAGAACAATACAGACAATACAGAGTTACAAACAAAGTGGTAGGAAATTAACAATGCTTGTTGTATTACATATTGATATCTTCAAAGTGGTTTCTCATGAAAACAAATAGAGACATGCAATACTGATCAATCAAGGACTCATTAACTGTTTCTTTTGCAAATCAAAACAACATTGAAATTCCACACTTACCCTAGCAAGAATGGCTAGCATTAAGAAATTAACCAATAACAAATGCTGGTGAGGCTGTGGAGAAATAGGAACTCTTCTCCGCTGCTGGTGGGAATGCAGACTGGTGAAACCACTGTGGAAATCAGTTTGGAGATTCCTCAGAAAACTAGGTCTAGAAGTCCCATTCAACCCAGCTATTCCGCTTCTGGGTATTTTCCCAGAAGATCTAAAAATACCATATCACAGCCATACATGTGCACCTATGTTCATAGCAGCACAACTTGTAATTGCTAAATTGTAGAAGCAACCCAAATGTCCATCCACTGAGGACTGGATAAGAAAATTGTGGTACTTTTATAGAATGGAATATTACTCAGCTATAAAGAAAGATAAACTCGAGGTTTTATAGGTAAATAGTCACAACTAGAGACAATAGGGTAAAGGGCAACTGGGATGTGGGAAAAGAGAAGGGAAAGAAGGAGAAATTTTGTATGGGGTTTATTTTTAATTAAATGTTTTACTTATTAGAATCAGGACACCAGCTGCAATGACAGAAATTTGTGACTCTTTGGAGATTTATACTAAACTCTATGAATGGAAAGTAAATTGAAGGCTGAAGAGGTGTACAAGAAACTATTTCTAGAAAACAAAGAAAAGTTTACATATTACTACATGAACATCAGACCAAAGGGAGTACTTTATGAACATTCCACATTCCCTGGAGAGGCACAGATTTTGAACACAGTCTGTTCACCTGCTTTTAGGAGTGTTTAGTTCAAAACAGGATTTTTAATGGAATGTATTTCTCTGGTTTTATATATTAGGCTAGCTATTCCTTATAACTTAATATGAAATTATCTAACATTTTTCCTCTGCTTATTGCTCTCCTCTTTATATCTCAGGAACAATGTTCTATTTTTCATTAAATGTACCTGGTTCTCCTAGCTACTATCAAGATGGGGATTTTATTGTTGGGGGACTCTTTTCCCTAAGAGTGACCAATGGAGACACAAGAAGCAGATATGAATTTCACCATACATATCCTATGCCACAGGATGTACATGTGTAAGTGCATGTCTTACCTACATACCAGATTGTGTTAATGCCTAACACAGGATGTACATGTGTAAGTGCATGTCTTACCTACATACCAGGCTGTGTGACTGCTCCTAATTTTCTAACAGATATGGCGACTTGCAAAGCACTCTAGAGTTGAGAGGTATTTTTCTTTTTTCAAAAGTACAGGACATTGTATTGAAATCATTTTTATTTATGTCATTTTAATGTGTTTGTTTGGAATCTCTTTTGTGTATTTCCTTGAGTAATCTAAGAAAATATTGTTTTTCCTGAAACATAACCTGATCTACAAGTATATGTAAAATTCTAAATTTTTATTTTTACCATTTTCCATTTACTTAATTCCCTGATCTTAGTTTTTCAGACACAAGCCGCACTGAACATCAAAATGCCAAAATTATAAATTTGACTGTAAATCTGATTGTAATTCTGACTTTGTGCAGATTTCTCAACATTTTTTAAAAAACAGACTCACTTTATTTCTTAGGTTATTGTGCACATCATCAGCATGCTTATTGTCTTTCTTAGAAGTAAAAACTTAGAAAACTGGGGGCTGGGGATTTAGCTCAGCAGCAAAGCGTCTGCCTGGCAAGCGCAAGGTCGTGAGTTCATTTCCCGGTACCGGAGAAAAACCAAAAACCAAAAAATAAAAATAAAATAAAAAAAACTTAGAAAACTGTCTTTTCACCATTATATTATAGGAAACTTACTAAGCATTATCACCATCAGCTGGCCATGATTTTTGCTGTAGAAGAGAGCAATAAAAACTTGAATTTGTTATTCAGTATGTCCCTGGGATTCCAGCTCTTCAATGTTGACTACACAGAAAGGAAGGCCATGGAGAGTTACTTGTCTTTGATTTCAGGAGAGATTCCTCCAATTCCTAATTATAACTGTAAGCCTGAAAAGAGAGACAAGCTGGTGGTTGTGATCAGAGGCATTTCAGCAGGAATATCAATTCAAATTTCCCACGTATTAAGTTTCTGCAATGTTCTACAGGTAGACAGAAAATTCTGCTGTTTGAGATTAAACAGAAAAATATGGTAGTGAATGCCAAACAAAATTCAATATATGCTTATTGAAAAAAGTTGTGACATTTTGAATTATAGTTTACTTATATTTTTTCTCTAATATAATTTATAAATAACATAAAAATATATTTTTACAATAAAATCTCCATTTGAAAATATTTGAAGTGGAGAAAAAAATTATGCAGCTGAAATAATTACATATATCATCTCACTATCAGAGAGAATTTTTATGTTATTTATTCATGTCAGTATCTAGTCTGTTGTTTTCCTAGATAATTACAAATCATTACAAATATATTGGAATATGGACATAAGTGCAGGCAAAGATTTTCTGAACAGAACTCTAAGAATACAGAAAATATTATTACAAATGGAATTACATCAGATTAAAACTTCTGTGTGGCAAAGTTTAACAACCAGCAATGTTAAAAGACATTCTACAGAAAGGGAAAAATAATTCTACCAGCTATCCTTGTGCTAGAAGACTAATAACTATAAAATATAGAGAACTAAAAAAAATAACACCCCAAAAGGAATAACCCAATGAACAAATTGGCAAATCATTTGAATAGACACTTCTCAGAAAGTACAAATGTCTAGGACATATACAAAAAAATATTTACCATATTTAGCTGCTACAGAAATGTAATATATAAAAATAACACTTGAGGTTCTCTCTGAACCCAGTCAGAATGGCTATGAAGAAGACAAAACCAGTAATGCTTATGAGGGTGTAGAGAAAAGGCAACCCCTCTGCGTTGTTGATGGGAATGTAAACAAGTACAGCCACTATGGAAATCACTATAGAGGTTTCTGAAAAAAATTAAAACTCAATTAAAACTCAAAAATTAAAAATCAATTCCATTTGACCCAGGTATTCTTATCTTGAGTATATTCTCAAAAGAGTTGAAGACATACTCCTATGGTGCTGCATTAATCCCTGTGTTTCTACCATCACAAGTAGCAATATGCAACCTCTGGAAACAACCTAGATGCATGTCAGTAGATGTCTAGAGAAAGAAAATATGATGTATAGTCATAATCTAATATTATTCATTTATAAAGAAGAAGGAAATTATGTCATTTGCTTTGATATATCAAAGCTCAATGGATGAGCTTTGATAATGGTAAATGAAGTAAGTCAGACACAGAAAATTACATATTGCATGGTTTCTTTCATATGAGCAATAAAATATAAGGAAAATAAAGGAAAGATAACAGGAAACACAAAGGTAGAATTTCTACATTTGGATAAGAGGATCAGAGGCAGGAAGGATAGGAAAGAGAGGAAGTAAAAGGATAAAAAATTGATCAAGATATGCTTTATACATGTACCAGTTTTCTAAAGTGAAAGTAATTATTATACATTGCAAATATGCATTAATATAAAAGAAAAAACCAAGTACTTTGTACTAGAGTAGGAAGAATAATGACTTTAAGTTTCTCATAAATCAGCGAAACTCCATTCCCGGCAGGCTCAAGAGTGCAAAAATGTCAAATTTTCATCTGTGAGGAGAGCCGCTGGGCACCCTGCTCAAGAAAGGCCACATATGAAATTGGTTTCCTGGCATTCATTTCTTTGCTCATTTAACTTTGCTCATGGATTCAGAGGCCACTGCAGGCATGGCTAAAGTGGGCCTATCTACTCATCCAGCTGCCAACACACCTGGGCATCACGCATGTAATGCAGATTTTGTAGGCATGAGGAATGCAAGAGTTGTTGAGTAAACTACTCTTCAAAGGATGCCCTGTGAGGTCAGGCATTTACCCTTGGCAGGTGGTTTCCTGAAGCTGTGGAATGAATTGAAAGTAGCAATGGAGGACATAGAAAGTTGAACAGGGCAAGAACATGGATCCCCTCCTGAGGAAAGCTATAGGGAACGAGTGGTGCCACCTCGAAGGGCCGTTAGATGCAGTAAGCTAGGCCAGTGATGGTGAACTTTTAGAGCTTTCAGTGATAATAAAGAGCCTGCTGCAGCACACATGCCATAAGTTTTCCCCTACTGGGCTAGGCTATGAGGGAGGGATCCTCTCGCCACCCCAAGCACTCTCAAATTAACACCTCATCACCATATTACTTGGATAATAGACATGAGTTAAAGTTCTTAATGTGTGATCTAGTGGGTTTCAGTTTTGTTGTGGTCTCCTCATTTTCTAGTTCCTTATTTTTCCTTTAATAGTGGGAATGTTTACCCTGTACAATTGTATATTGAGAATATTTAACTCGGTTTTTGAATTCTTTATACTTTATAGCGAAGGGTCTGCCTTGAGTCTCAAAGGAGATTTTGGATATCTAAGCAACGCTGAAACTTTGGGGAACAGAATTAGTACATTTTTTGGTTGTATTCATGATTGTTATATCATGGTAAGTAGAGTTATGATCTTGTATTTACTTGAAGATTAAATATGGTTATTGGAGATGTGTTTGATGTCAAGTTGACAAAAGTTGGAAAGTGCCAGTTAACCTGCATTCTCAATCTGCTCAAGTTGAGAGCCACCTAGATTAGAAAACTACAATTCTGAGTGTCTCTGGTTGAGTTATGAAGATGTGACCTTGAGTATTAAATCGTGTCCCTTGGCACCTTCATTGCTATTGTTCTCTGCTTAGATTAACTGCATCTGTGAAGTGAGCAGGTTTGCTCTGTGCTGCTCTTCTGCCATAACATTTTGTCATGGAATCAGTATAGACTTAGTTAGTTTTCCTTCATTGCTAAGACAAAATGCCAGACACCCAAAATTAAGGAAGGAAAGGTTTATGCAGCACACAGTTTGTAGAGGTTTTAGTTCACTGTCAGCTGGGTCCAAGACAGGGTGGCCTAGCTCAGAAGCAATAGTTCATGGTGGCAGAAGACAGCAAAAACAAGAGCATAAAGAAAGGAATGTGAGAGCTAGCCTCTTTCCCTCCACTGTATGGTATGCAGGCTACCCGCGCAAGGGTGGTTATACACTCACACCCATACTCCTAGCATTGGACCATGAATCATTCACAAACTCTAGAAGCCCAGCCCAGCCCCATGACTGCATGAGGCCTTGGGGGGACATCTAGACACAAACCATAATGCAGTCAATCATTGGGACTGAAACATCTGAAACTATGAACCAAAATAAACTGTTCTTCTTTTAACTTGTATATGTCAGGTATTTGGTCCTAGTGTTGGGAAAGCTGAACAATGCATACATGTTCTAGGGTTGTGTACGAAATCAAATAATCCTGCAGGTAATGGCTAATCTTAGATGTTTGACAATGACTACAAAAAATTCATTATTCCTAATGATCTGTTTACATCATGCCTTTTCAAGGTAGATTAACAATATATAAATAAGCAAAAATTTTTTAATATTATTATGAAAATTTTGGGTAATACACCCTTAGCAGAATGTATTTTTTTTAATTAAAAATAGCTCCTATATGTGTCTTTCATAATGAATGAGGACAAAGTTTAAAGGGTAGCATTTAACTCTTACTGTTTGTTTTGAAATTTCTTTAAAATAGTTTATCCATATATCTCTTCATTTCAAGAAATTAGTGAAAAATTAAGAATGCTTGAATAGGGAAAATTATAAAAAATTCTTGAAAAGTTAGGTAAAAAATTATTTTGAATTTTAATAGAATTCTGATTGAAATTTCAGTGAAGCTTTACAAGAATGACATAAAGTGCATTTTCTCATAAGGAAATAAATTGTCCATGAAAATTTATTTCTTTCAACATTATTTTATAATAATTAGTAAAATGATGATATATCATTCACGGATACTCATTCAACATTATATTTCTCTGGTAGACCCCCATCAACAATTAAAACTTTGAGTATCAGAATCTTTCCTGTCTCCATTTCTAAAAATATTTTTCCACATAGTCTGTCCTTTTCTCTCAAGATCACTTTCCACATTCTTCACTCTCATCTCCTTTCATTGTTCAATGAGACTTACTTTTTCTATTTCATATGGATTCAAATGGATAATCGATGACTTCTTTCTGATCTAGAAACCATTTCTTTACCCATATTGTGCAGATTTCAGCATGCAGTCCCAAAAGATGTACCTTTAAGGGATTAAAAATGAAATTTTTGTATAAAGAAATAAAGAATTATATATGATATGTGCTTCCTTCTTGGAGACCCAAGCACTAAAATGTATGGAACAGACAGAAGGAATAGAATGTTTCAAAAACATGTCCAAATGCTTGGCAGAAATCCAATCTTCTGGCCTTTCCATATATTTAAGTGACTATTCCTCAAATATATATTTCTAACAAAATGTTAACAAATTAAAATGTATTGTAAACGGCCATGCCACAGAGTTATCAGTGCACGGCAAATGCAAAATGCCCATCATGCAACAGTCTTTAAAGAGCATCTGAATTTATTTTATTATCTATGACGTGCAAAATGTAAGTAATGTCCATGAGCCATTGAGAGAATTTTCATTATATAACAACCTGTTTGGCCACCTTGCTCCAGAAAAATCAGTCCATGTGAAATCCCCTGTATATGTTTTCCCTAGGACATTGTGCTTCTTAAAGTTCTCTAAAGATAGGCTTTATTGTAAATTTTGAGACAATAATTTCCTTGATCTGTCTTCTCCAAATAATATATATATATATGATTGAATTTTGTCTTGTTTCAATTTCACATATACTGTACCTCATACAATCTTCTGTGACTTGTTCGATCTCCTATGCCCATTAATAAGGACTTATACATAGGTGATAGCTGTATTTTATACTTTTAACTGCTGTATGCTATATTTCACTGTTTAAAATACATCAATAATTAGTGAATTCTCTCTTAACAAATATTTGAACTATTTTCATTTTTTCCTATTTTTAACAATGTTTCTTCTAATATTGCACAAATCTACTGCCACATAAGTGCATATATTCTCTAGAAATACAAATTTTAGACATTTTCTGTGTCAAACAATATTCATTTTGGAGGAATACTAAATTGTTTTAAACTTATATGTATGGGGCCAGGGATATAGCTCAACAAAATAAGCACCTGCCTGGCAAGTGCAAGGTTCTGAGTTTAATTCCTGGTACCAAAAAAAAAGAAAAAAACTATACATGTAACAGTTCGAATTTTCAACACTGTACATATAAGTTTTCATTAGTTCCCTTCTTTACCAAACTTCAATGACTGTTACACTTTTAATTTTGTCACTTCAAGATTATGAAATAGTACTTCCTTTTGTTTGAACTCACAATGGTATGATTAATGAGACTGCCATTTTACTTCTCTATTTCTTTGAAATTCTGCAATTTCACAATGACATTAGAAATATGTTCCCTTTGTAATCCTTTCTAGTGTTTTCTGGCCTTTCTAAACATGTGGATAGCCTTTCTTACTTCTGGAATGCCCTTTAATGTAATTTCTTCAATATTTTGTTCTTGTATTTATTGGCTATTTGTATTTATTTATCTGAGAAGTATGTATTCATCTCAGCTGCCTATTCAATATCACTAGTCATTTGAGAAGTGCAAATTAAAACAACGTTGAGATT